CACTGGAGACGACGACTTCGTGCAACAATTTCATGAGCAGCATCCGTTTTAGTTTTAAATTTGTATATTATGAATTTTTAAACTTATTCATTGTATATTATTTAGTTATTTATAATTATTTAATTATTTAAATTTTTATTTTTAATTTGGTTTTTCTAATTTTTTTAATATATATATATAATTTTTAATTTATAAATATCTTTTTTTAAAAGAAAAAAACATTTCCAAGCAATTTCCTCGTAAAGCTTTCGAAGTCATCTTCTAGTAAATATTCCTAGCAAGTTGCTCATAAGGTTTCCTCGTAAGCTCTTCGTATACTTTCCTAGAAAGTTCCTCGTAATTAGCCTACTACGAGCTCTTACGAGGAAAGACTTTACTATGAGCTTACGAGGAAAGCTTACGTGGACTTTACGAGAAAAACTTATCCATGCCTTTACGAGGAAATGTTTCCTCGTAAGTTAGCTAGGACTTTACGAGGAAAATAGGCTTTACGATGAACGCCTTTCGACGAAATGGGTTTCCTCGTAATTTCCTAGTAAAGGCCCTTTTACTAGGAAATAACGAGGAGAACCCGTCCTAGTAAATGGCCTGTTTTCTTGTAGTGATTTACTTGTTCAACTTGTTGTGTTATATGTTACTAATGAGAGGGGAGGGAGCTATTTATAGGCTCCAAAAGTTCAAAATATCTTATAAACCTTATCTTAATCTCTAGAACTCTACCATAACATCTAGATTTTTTCTACTAATACTTATCCAAAAGAATTCTGTAGAACATTTGATGAGGGGATGATCTTTATGATTTTTCTAAAGAGATTCTAGAATTTGCTTAACTTTAGATTTAGTCTAACAAGATTATTGGAATCCATAATTAAGCATAGTCCAAAATCAAATTTAAGTTTAATAATATATGCAGGCTTGATGAGAGGAAACGTAGAAAGGAATTCATACTAGAAAGAAACTTGTTATACCCAAATCCCTTTGAGAAGGACCTATCTCAGGAGGAGAAGGTGCAGTGTCGGCGTTTAGACGTTCAAGTGTGTTTTCATTCAAAAGAAAAGCACAAAGAGCTACTCCGTAGTGTTGTGAGCCAGTACCGCATGGTGAAACGGCTCAAAGATATTAAGATTAAGGACATTGCTACTCTCTCAAACTGTGCATTTGGTTGCTTAGATGTGACTCATTGTGTTGGACTGGTCGGAGCAGGAAGCTCAAATGGCAGGGTGTTGTTCGACTGCTGAAGTAGAGAGGTATCTGGGGAGGGAAAGGAAGTGAGAGAGCGAAGAAGGGATAGACAGAGGGAAAGAGAGCAGTCAATTAGTGGGGGAAATGGGGTCTCGACCTTCTGTGCAAGCATCTTCAAGCTATGTGAATGACATGGACCTCATCGGGTTCACGGAGTCGAAACTTCTATCTGAATCCGTGAGTGTCTAGTTACCTGGAACAAGCGTGAGATGAGTGTTTTTTTTGTCTTGTAACTGAAAGAAGAGAGTTGTTTGTTTTGTTGCAGGAGAAGGGTCTTTGCAGCGTTTTATCTACAGATGCACCAAGTGATGTCACATGAGATATTCAAAGGGAGTGTGACGAGGAAGTCAGATTCCTATAGATTGTTCAAGATTGATCCGACTAAAGTAGACCGAGTTTATGATATGTTTGTGAAGAAGGGCATTGGTCAGCTTTAAGCCTGGTGCATGTATCTATGATCTATGTATATATGTGTGAGCTCTATTGAGTTATTTCCCGATGTTTCCTTGGTTTATTTGATTATTACACACTTGACCTTGTGTAACTTTTTTTTTTTTTTTACACACTTGACCTTGTGTAACTTATAATAGAAAAAAAAACGTGATTCACTTATCCGTAGAGATAAGGTACAGGAGAGCCACAGAAACTAAGGATAAAAGAATCAGAGTCCTACAAGGAAAAAGTGAGAGGATGATGATGTCTCTCCCCAAAATGAAAATATCTTCTCTGCAACCTCATCTCCATTTGAGCAGATACAGATTACTAGCAGCAGCTAAGGCGTTTCCGAGCTCAACCATAAGCACCAGAATATCCTGCCGTGTTCAGTGCGGAGAAGCGAGAAGAAGAATAACGTTAAAAAGTAGCAGAGTCAAACATGAAAAGACACAGCCTTTGGGTCTGGAGAAGAAGCAACTGAGACAAGCTTTGGTGACCGGTGTCTCGGTAGGGTTAATGATGGCTTTGGTATTGGGTTTGGATGCAGAGAAGGCGATGGCTTTGGGTCCAGAAGGCCCTTTGATGGAAGAGTTCTGGGACAACGTGAGAAGGTACGGTCTTTACGCACTCACCGTCAGCACAGGAGCACTCTCTGCCGTGTTTGAGCCCATCTTCGAACTACTCAAGAACCCAATCTCCGCTATTCTCATTGTGATCATCTTAGGTGGAAGCTTCTATATCGTCTCACAAGTCGTCTCAGCCATGGTTGGTGTCAACGAGTTCGCTTATGATTATGGATACTAGAGTTTGTAACTCTTTCATTAAATACTCTGTTATGGTCATCGATACTCTGTTTAATCTTTTTGATTTTGTTACACAATTAATCAATGCGGTAGAGACATTTTGTTTGACATTAAGAGATCAACTTTGTACTTTGTTTATGAGATGGTACAAATCTTTTAATTGTGGACTAGTGAGAATCTTCAAGCCGTCCGGCGACGTATTCCATGATTCCCTCGCCGGTTGCTTCTTCTGAGAGTTGCTGAAAGCCACCGGAGGTGATTGCCATGGCTAAGAAGGCCGCCGTTGACGCAAACAAAGGCCAGAAATAAGCTAATGTGTCGAGAATTCTTGGTGCTGCGTACACGAGGGCCGACACAAGCACGCTCACGATGATTGCAATCATGACATGGAATTTGTATTCCATTAGTCTTGCTTGAATCTCCATTTCTTGTTAATGTGGGAGTCGGAGAGAGAGAATAGGAGAGATGTTGAAGCTAAGAACTCTGATGATTTGCAGTTTGTGAGGAAGGAGATTGAGATGGTTTTAACGTCAGCTTTGTTGATCAACGCAAGTTCTCAAGTCATTTTCTTTAGTGGCTGTTGCCTGTTTGCTTGATAAAGATTCCTTTGTTAACCATTTGTTTAACCAATGATTCATAACTACTCTACCTACAAGGACATGAAGACCCCTGCAGTTTAGAGAATGTGAAGGGGCATAATCGTCATTTGAGGCTTGGTGGATGATACATTTCATATGCCTTTGTCCAGGGGAATGGGTTTTGTTTCTTTTCTTCATCTTGATTACCAAAACAAAGACTTTGTTTACAAGTAAAAGAATAGGATCGAATTGCTTTGCAAAGTTTCTTCCTTTTCATCATATCCAATGGAAAGGCATCAACTTTATCATGGCCACCCTAGTGATTAATTTAACATTAACCAAATCAAAAGAAAAAAACTTAATAGGTTACCAAAAACAAACCAATTAAAGGAACTGTAAGCTGAACACTTTAAGGATGACAAGATCTTTCTTCTCAACACAAAAACTACTAAACTCAGTTGCTATCAAAACTATCTCCCTTCTGCTACTCACTTGCAATCATTAGTTGTCTACATCTACTATTGTCTGCACAGGTGGTTTCCATTTCTGCTTGCAGCTTCTGTAAGTCTCTGAGGAACTTAAAGGAAACGCATTCTCCACTATTCAGTAGTAGCAACTCGAGCTCTTCCCCGTCAGAATGATATATATATGTACCGCCTTGTCCTAGTTTTCTGATTAGCTGTCTCTCGAGGTGGATCATTGGCCTTCCCTGTTGCTCTATCCTCCAACCATACTTCTCTAGCTTTTTTTACATGCTTGAGTGCCTTTTGTAAATGTAGTTTCTCATATTGCGCAGTGATGTGATATGTATGATGCCTTGACTCCTACAGTTTTATATTCAACTTTTTGACCAACGTGTGGAACATTATATGCCCACTAATTATTTTCTTCGATATGGTCATCTAGTGTAACAGCACTTGAAAAACGGCAATAGCTTTGAAACCTTTTTGATTGATTTTTTTTTGCAGCTGGAGAATGTTTGTTTCACAGAAGATCGATGATTACTAGAAGAGTAGCTGGGGAATTTGGGTGATGTTTGTTTCACCATCTATCATCTCTATCCAGCTAATTCATCTAGATGATTCATCTAGATGGTCCATCCACATTTTTGAGATTGTTTGTTTGTCCATCAAGATGGTTCATCTCGATGGATCATCTAGATGGACTCATGTTTGTTTTTCTGTTTTTCTTCTCCATCTAGATGAATTTAGTAAAAAAATTACTAAAATACCCTTGTTTTAATTTAGTCATATGTATGATATTAATTTTAAATATATTTTTATAATTTTGACGCGAAAATGAGTTTTTGCGGATTTGGGGGGAAAACGGGTTTTTGTGGTTTTAGTTGAAAAATGCGTGTTTGCGGTTATGGCGGGAAACACGTTTTTGCGATTTTAGCGGAAAAATACGTTTTTGCAGGAAAATTTGTTTTTCGGGAAAACATGTTTTTGCGATTTTGGCAGAAAAAGTATTTTTACGGTTTTGGCAGGAAAACAAATTTTTCGGTTTTAGCAAAAAACGCGTTTTGGCGGGAAAACGCGTTTTGGCGGGAAAACACGTTTTGGCAGGAAAACGCGTTTTTGCGGAAAAATGCGTTTTGGCGGTAAAACGCGTTTTGGCGGGAAAGCGCGTTTTGGCGGGAAAGCGCGTTTTGGCGGGAAAATGCGTTTTGGTGGGAAAACGCGTTTTGGCGGGAAAACGCGTTTTGGCGGGAAAATGCGTTTTGGCGGGAAAACGCGTTTTGGCAGGAAAACGCGTTTTTGCGGAAAAATACGTTTTGGCGGGAAAACACGTTTTAGCGGTAAAACGCTTTTTGGCGGGAAAACGCGTTTTGGCGGAAAAATACGTTTTGGCGGGAAAACGCGTTTTGGCGGGAAAAGACGTTTTTGCGGAAAAAACACATTTTGGCGGGAAAACGCGTTGTGGCGGGAAAACGCATTTTTGCGGGAAAAGACGTTTTTTGCTGAAAAACACGTTTTTACGGGAAAACGCGTTTTGCGGTTTTTATGAGAAAACACGTTTTTGCGAAAAAATGGATTTTTTGCGGTTTTGGAAGGAAAACGAGTGTTTGCGGTTTTGGCGGGAAAACGTGTTTTTCGGTTTTTGCGGGAAAATACGTTTTGGCAGAAAACCGGATTTTTGCAGTTTTGCTAGGAAAACTTATTTTTGCGGTTTTGGCGGAAAGCGCGTTTTTGCGGAAAAATGCGTTTTGGCGGAAAAACGAGTTTTTGCGGTTTTGGTGGGAAACACATTTTTGCGGTTTTAGCTAGGAAAAAATGTATTTACGGTTTTGGCGGAAAATTGTTTTTGCGGTTTTGGTAGGAAATCCGTTTTTGCGATTTTAGCGAGAAAACACGTTTTTACAGTTTTGGCGGAAAATCGTGTTTTTACGGTTTTGGCGGAAAAATGCGGTTTGATCATTTGAGGAAATGTGGTTTTGTCATGTAAGTTACAAAATAATAGTATGTTTAGGTTTGTAATCTATGAATTATATAAAAGGGTATAATTGACATTATACAATTTTAGAAGAACCATCTCCATCCAGATGGTTCAAATTGGTCCATCCAGATGGACTTCAAACTTAAGCCTAAAATTCAAAGTCATCCGGATGATCCATCTAGATGAATTGTACTTTTAGTGTATAAACAAACAAAACTACCATCTCCATCCAGATGGTGAAACAAACAGGCCCTTGTCCATATGCGTACTGATCAGAGAAAGGGACTATGGAATTTTCAGTACACAATACAAGTGCATCAATGATGGACAAACAATGCGAATCAAGAGGTAAGACAATGAAAGTAGAGATCAGGAACCAAGATGTAGTTTCAATTACATGAAGTAGTATATATGTTGCACTGAAATAAGATAAAGAGAGGAGGTACCAGAACAAGGATTTCAAGTTTTATACTAAAAGTTACAAAAATTTCAAACACATATACCCAATGTTATCTGATACAGAGAAATAATTCACAAACCCTAATTTGATATCTTATTAAGACTCTGTTTCTTGATCCAAGCCGTACGGAACACTCCGGCACAAGGGACATGAGTTTTGCCGACCAAGCCATTCAAAGAGACAATCTTGATGAAACCTATGCAAACATTTAGGCATCTCAATGATTTTTTGATGATTCTTGGACAAATCCTCAATACAAATTGAACAGTGAATCTCGTTTTTCTTGACTTCAAGTACTCTCTGTTGGTCCGCTAACCTCTGGAGAACTTCACGGGAAGCACCTCTTGAGGGAGTAGGTTCATCAGGTGGTAGAATCAAACGTGTCTCTCTGATGAAATCGACAGTGACAAATACGAAAGCAGGCTCTCGAAGAGAATCGTCATTAGCAAGTTCACGATTGATATCAAGAGCGATCTTTTGACCTAGATATTGAGACTCGGGTACTTGTTTCTCGTGAAGGAGACGAGAGAGATGATTTGGCGTGAAGCCGCCACTTAGGTTCAAGTTGATATGATCCGATGCTACAACTTGTACCACTCCTGTTTCGTCTTGGATCACTTCTTGTAAGAGGATATCGACCGTGTTCGTGAATATTTTTGATAGATTTGCCACCACCGTGTAGACTTTGGGTGTATCAGTTTCGGTTTCCATGGCCACAAGAAAAAAGGAAAAGAAATATAAACCCTAATTTCGAAAATATAGAAGAGGAAGATTGTTGAGAGACAAAAAAAGTGAAAGAGAAATCGATTCCCGAATGAGAGAAGTCTTCTGTTATAAAGAGCGATCTTTCCTTTTTTTTTTTATAAGCCAGATCATTAATTGACTAAAGTATTTGACTATTTCCTTTTTCCCCCTTTTTAAAATCCGAACGTTAACTAATTGTTCACATCAACATTACTGTACCGTTACGCTAAAACAAAAAGGATTACTGTACCGGAGTTCAACCCAGACGAACTATTTTTTTGGTATAAATTCGGTTTATTCTGGTTTAGCTGTTGAGTTCTAATTAATAGGCATCTGAAATCGGTAATAGATTGAACCCATTTTTTTCAAGATCCTCCTCGACGGAGAAGAAGCCAACGATAGTGTAATTTGTACATTATACCTTACTTTTAAGATCGGTCCAACGATGTTAGAATTGCTCAGGATTAAAGCATCATAAACCTTTCTTTTAAAAAAATCTAATTGTAATCTGATGAATTACACCGTCAGATACTCACTCAATAATTCATGATACTTGTAAACAAATTTCATCTTATACGAATTGATTAACATAAGAATAATTTCCCTCAAGAAATCGCAGTAGTATTCAATCCCCTGAATCTCAAAAGTTTTCGAGTTTCTATTTCTTGATCCTCGGTTGTACGAAACTCCGGCACAACGGACACGAGTTTTTTTGACTAAGCCACTCGAAAAGACAGTTTTGATGAAAGATATGCAAACAGTTAGGCATCTTAATGATGCTTTGTTGACTCTTGGACAAATCCTCAATGCAAATTGAACACTGAGTTTCTTTATCTCCTTTCAAATCCACTCTATGTTCTTCCACCAATCTCTGAAATACTTCAAACGAAGCAGGAACTTCAGACGGCAATACCAAACGCCTCTCTTTGACAAATTCAACATGGACGTTCACGAAGATGGGCTCTCGGAGAGTTCTATCTTTAGTAAGTGAACGATTGATTTTATTAGCGATTCTTTCACCTATGTGCTGAGATTCATTAACTTGTTGGCCACGAAGGAGTTCAGAGATATGACTTGGCGTGAAGCCATGTGGCTCCAAGTGGATGTAACGTGATCGTATAGGTGTTACCGCTCCACTTTCGTCTTCGGTAAAATCTTGAATCAGATTGTGTACATAGATTGCGAGAATATTCATAGACTCCATGTTTAGCGCTAGATTCATCACCTTCGTTTTAACTTCAATTATATCAGATTCAACTATTTCCATGGCTATAGACAGGAGAATAGAGAGATGAAGATTCAAACGGCAATAGACCCTAAATAATTCCGGATTTGAGAGATGAAGATTTTTTCTTAAGAGGAAGAGAGAGAAACTTTGAGATTTAAATTGTTGGTGAACGAGTGATTACTGAGTTATATAGAGAGAGGCATGTTGCAAAACTAGGTCTCTATTTCCTTCTTTTGTAAAGTTTTATATAATTTCCTTTTCTGTAAACCTTGATCAATTATTGATCGTTATTTCCTTATTTCGTTTTTTTTATAACATCTTAACTTTATTGAAATCAAATCAATGTAACATGTTTAGCGCTAGATTCGCCACCTTCGTTATAACTTCAATTATATAAGATTCAACTATTTCCATGGCTATAGAGAGGAGAAGAAGATTCAAACGACAATAGACCCTAAATAATTTCGGATTTGCGAGATGAAGATTTTTTTTTAAGAGGAAGAGAGAGAGACTTTGAGATTATAATTGTTGGTGAACGAGTGCATGAGTTATATAGAGAGAGAGGCATGTTGCAACTTGCAAAACTAGTATACGGTTGATACAAGAAATCATTTATTGATTTATATAATTTCCTTTTCTGTAAACCTTGATCATTTATTGATCGTTATTTCCTTATTTCCCTTGTTGTTGTTTAAACCCTATCGTTAATAATTAGTTGTTTCCTTTTTACGTTTTATAAAACCGACTGTTAATAATCAGCCTTCTTTTATCTTGGGAGTTATTGTACTGCAAATTCAATCCAAAAGAATAGGCTTGTTAGGGTTTGGGAGATGTAGGGTACAATTAGTGTCTAGCTAGGCTTTCGAAACTTTGTGGTTATGTAAAACCATTAAATTCAAAATTTTGCCAATCACCTTCTGAAGATTTTAGAGATTTCTAAAGTCTTATTAGAAAAAAACTTCTTCTTCACATATTTCTAAAATTCACTTTCTGAGACTTCAAACATTTTTCTCTCCTATTTTCTTTAAAAAAATGACATAAATCACTTCTTTTTTTCAAACCAATAAAAAATAACAAACAAAATACTTGGAAAATTGATTTTCATTAAGTCATAACCCTATTATTAGACACTAATTTGTTAAATATTTAAATTTATTATATAGATAATTATGAATACTATGAAAACTTTGATAAACAAAACTGTCCACTGTAGAAGGTTTAAGTAGGTTTCAATCGTCCAAACTCAACATATATGGTTTCAATCATCTACTCATGAGAACAAGGTATTCGTGTAACATTTGTTACACGTGACCAATTGTTCAATTCATGAATCATATTCACACGTTTGCAGTGAGTATTTTTGGATAACCGACCATCTCGACTTCTCTTTTGCAGTGAGTATTTTTGGTACCGGTTGCTATCCTCTTAACAGTCTTTTTCCATTTTCAATACTTTTTACCTACCTAGTGGTATGGTGTCTCAATTCTGTTTTGCAGTTTCAATCATTGAAACTTTGTCTACACGACTTAATAATATTCAGTATTCAAGAGAAGAATCATATTCACATGATCAAAATTTTGAGTCTCTAGCTGATAATATTTCTTTAATACTATTTAATCGCACATATTTTTTCTTGTTAGCTAGAAATCTCTATTGATAAATTATAAATTAGTTTCCTATCATGTCATCACGTTAATTTTTATGACAGTTAATTACAGATATATTTTTAATGAATTAAAAATATTATATTGAAATATTATTATTAATTTTTTTTTGTCACCGACATAAACAAACACATATAGACTCTGTTAATTAAACTGGGGGTTCCACATCCATATGAATGACAAAAGACAATTGTTCCTTAGTACTACGTGCTAGATTATCCGCCCGCGAATTCTGCATTCTAGATGCGTAGATGATCTCTTTATTTAAAATATGTTTGAGCATAAAATCCATAATCCGAAGTCCAAGCGGAATCCAAACTACAAAAATCCTACCCATACCCGATCTGAAATGTAAAAAATACTATAAGAAATCTTGTAGGTGGGTAGTGGTACATAACATATCAAAACCAAAGTGTTATTAGCCAATCCAAACCAATAACCTGAAAAAATATGTAAAGATTTGAAAAACCGATATGAATGTTCAAATTAATCACAAATATAAATATTTGTAAAACATAAATATATAATTCAAATCTATATTTATTTTTGAGTGATATCTAAAAATAAATATTTAAATTTTAGAAAGTACATTAAATATCTGCTTCTATATAAATAAGTATTTATTTCTTATATTTTGCTTTAAAATTTTGGATTAAACTTTGGATATATCCGGACCAAACCAATATAAGCCGCAGTTTAACAATATATAGTTACTTTATGGTTTTAGGATGTGATACAGATTAGCAACAAAACCAATGTGTTCTATCTAAACCTCAATCCATATTTACAAATGTAGCACAATGAGATCTAGGATGTGATATAAATTAGAGCCAAATTCAAAAACTCAACCTGTATCCTAATGGATACTTGAATTTTCAAGTCCAACTTAAAACCTAATTAAGATCGTCTAGAAATTTTCATTCAAAATTTTATTTACCCAAAATTTAAGTTATATATATATATATGTACTTTTTGTTGTTACTAAGAATGCTAATATCATATTATTGATGTTCAGATTTTACAAAAAGCTCCCTTGACAAAAAAAAAAGAAATGTATATATACTTTTATAAAGAAACTTTTTTTAAAAAATATATTAACTAAATTAAAATTTTTATAAACAGAATTTTATGAAAATAATATAATTCATTTATACTACCCACCTCATATTAATTTTAATTATATTTACAAAATTTAAAGGTATAATATGAATATATTTTTATTGTGTACATTTTTATGAAATCGTGTGCAAGAAACTATAATTGTAATCATAATATATAGTTCCATATACCATATAATCAAATAATATTAATGTCAACTAAATTAGTATTGTATTTTATATTATATTATATCCTAATGTTTAAATTTAAGATATGTATATTAAAATATAAAACTATATCTTATTTTAAATATCTTATGGAAGTTTTTTTTTAATAAGTTGAAGTATGTTGTAAACTATATATATAATGGTATTATGTAAATGTATTTCATTTAGTTTATAACTTATAAAAATAGATTAAGTTATTTTATAAATATTATTTCGTGTAATTTTTAATTACGTATATATTTATATATAAATATTATAGAAGGTTATTTCTTATTCTATAAATCGAAATGAGTTAATATTCATTTTTAATTGAATTATATATTATTTTATGTTTTTATTATTAAAATAATATAAAAATAAATATTTCTTTTTGTATATAAAAATATATTAAAGATATTTTTAAAATGTAATCTGAAAAAGTGTTTAAGAGTATATTTTTAATATCTTATTTTAAATACATTTAAATAATATATTTATATTATGTGTTTATTTAATAATAACTAAGTTTGTTGTATGTAACATAACATAAAATTAAATAAATATAATGGTTCAATCTAAACCACTTGCAAGTAGATAAAAATGGAAATTCTGTTTTAATAGTATTGACTAGATTTTGACCCGCGCTTTGGAAGCGCGGGATATGTTTTGGCTAATTTTTCCAATTTAAGAATTACTCTATTTTTTTTTGAATTTTAATATTTGAGTTTTTACGTCTATAACTAAAAATAATTTTATTCTCATCTCATAGTACTAGATACTCACGTTTTATTTCAGGTCTTTTCAGGTTATTCACTTTAAGGTTTTGGGGTTGGGTGTTTAGAACCCATTATATTTTTCATATCGATTCAGTTCGAGTAATGTCGAATTGGGTTCACATTTATATTTTTTCGAATTATTCGGGTTGGGGTGTTTAGTACCCGTGTAAGAACCAAATGTTTTCCAGATCGGTTCAGTTCGAGTAATGTCAGATTCGGTTTGCATTTATAATTTTTTTAAACCCGAAATGAAAACGAATTAGAAATAGTGTGAGTTGAGTCATGTTTAAAGTTATAAATCTCAAAAAACTTCAAAAAAACCCAAAATAATCCCAAAAATCCAATAGGGTAGTTTGGGTAATTAAGAGTTTTGCATATTTTAATTTATAAGTTATACTATATATTATAATAATTAATATTTTTATTTTATTTTGAATATTTGAATACATGTTTGGTGTTTGGTTTGGTTCTGCTTTTAGTTTTGGTTATCGGGTTATTAGAAATATTAACTGTTTGGATTTTTTAAAATTTTGGTCTGGTTATGGTTTTAGTTTTTTTTTTGTTTGGGTTCAAGATTGATTTTTGGATTTGGATAATATGTTCAACACTAACTTTCTCATTAGTTTTCTTATATGTGTTTTAATATCTATCTTACAAAAAATATTCTTTTTTATTCTTAATATTAAAATATTTTATAATATCACTTTTGCACTATCATGTTTTTAAAAGAGTATTTAAAAACTCTCTGGGCCTGATTAATACAAAACAAAGAAGTTCCATTTTTATGTTTAAAAACTAATCAAATACAACTGGGTTCTAAAAAATGAAACGCAAGATGAGGATAAGAAAATATTAGTGTAAGTTGGATTTATAATAATGATGATAGTCTTTTAATATCACTCAGGTGCATGTGTTTTAATAGTATAAGTACTACAAAAAACTAGACAATTGATAAAAGGGAAAATTTGACAAAATAACTCTCAATTTTCGAAAATAAGCCAAAAATTTCTCCAACTCACAAACATGCCATTTTAACCTTCAACTTCTAGTCAAACACGAATAAATCTCATACTTTCGTTGACCAAGCCATTTTAATCTCGCCAAAATTTAATTGTTTAGTTCCCTTAGTTATATTTAACGGTTGATTTTTAAGGAGCTTAAAATGGCTTGGTCAACGAAAGTATGAGTTTTTTTTTATTTTTAATTTAAAAGTTGAAGATTAAAATTGTTCACTTAAAAATATCTTAACTAAAAATTGCTATTTTTGTTTTATGTTTTTCAACAAAAATTGTAGTTTATCATATCGATTAGAATTACAAACTTAATAAAATATGTTCAAATAAGTTTAGTTATAATATTTTCAAATGAATTAAAAACAAAAAAAAAATTGTTTAGTAAAAAAACTTGATTAAAAATACAATTATACTGTAAATTCAGATATAAAATAAAATAATTAAATGTTTATGTTAAAAAAATTAAGAATAAAAACATAAAATTTAAAGGTAAAACCCTAAACACATTGTTGTTAAAAGTATAATGACATATACTCAATAGAGGATGAAACAAGTGAAGATGAGGAAGTCAAGTGCGTGAAAGGGATTTCCGGCAACTGATGTATAATTTTTTTTTGTTTTTAGTTCATTTTTAAATATTATATCTAAACTTATATGAACGTATTTTATTAAGTTAGTGATTACAATCGATATGAAAAATTATACTTTTCTGTCAGAAAAAAATAAATTTAATTAAGATATTTTTAAGTAAGCAATTTTAATCTTTAACTTTTAAATTAGGATAAAAAATTCTCATACTTTCGTTGACCAAACCATTTTAGGCTCATTAAAATTCAACCGTTAAATATAACTAACGGAACTAAACGGTTGGTTTTTGACAAAATTAAAATGGCTTAGACAACGAAAGTATGAGATTTATTCGTGTTTGATTAGGGTGATGATTGTTTACACTAGTTTTTAGTTTTAGCTTTTAGTTTTTAGATTTTGGTTTTAGATTTTTGTTTTTGGTTTTTGATTTTGGCTTTTTATTTTTGGTTTTCCGCTTTTGGTTTTAGTTTTTAGATTTTGGTTTTTGGTTTTGCTGTAGTTTTTAAATTTCTTAAAAAAATAAGTAATACATTATTTTAGAATAATACAACAAAAATAGAAATAAATCATTTAAAATCTACTATTAAAATATAATGATTATTATTTAATAATACAAAATACATTGACATGTTTTAATTATTATATATTTTAAGAAACTTATATTATGCTAAATTATAAATCATAAAATAACTATAAACTATACAATATTTAAAATATTAAAATATGAAAATTATTTATAAAAAATTTTGTATGTAGTTTAAATTATAAAATTTGAATGGAATTTTTTCTTTTTCAAATTAATATAATATATTTTATTAATAAAATTTTATGTTTTTATAATTGAAGTTATTGTTAAATAAGTCTAATTATTATTAAATTATTAAATAAATTGATGTGTAGAAATGAATAACCAATTTCAATTATTTAATATTATATATAAGTATATAAATTTATTTTGACATGCAACATAAATAAATGATTAAACATTATTGCTTAAATGTTATCTTTTGTACCAAAATTTTATTAGACTTTTATCTTTATAAAGTATGATTTAATTATTAGCTAGTTAAAATGTACCACTTTCTAATGAAAATAAAACAAAATTCGTTTTTATTCCTAAAAACCAACAAAAATGAGTTTTTGGTTTCTCTTCATAAATTGATTAAAATATTCAAAAACCAGTTTCCCTAAAATTTAGGGAATCTATTTATTAAAAATCTTGATTGGCAAAAAATTGGTTTTTATAAAACTAAAAACAAAAACCAAAATCTTGATTGGGTAAAAACTAGTTTTTGAAAAAACAAAAACCAAAAACTAATTCAAAAACTACAAACAATCAAGTTGAAGGTTAAAATGGCTTCTTTGTGAGTTGAGATTTTTTTAGCTTATTTTCAAAAGTTAAAAGAGAAACACTATTCTTGGTTTTTATTTAAGAAAATGAAACAGTTTTCTTATAATGTTTACAGTTACAGCTTTAGAATACAAAGATCGTCTTCCTTGTCCGTTCTCCTATCACATTACATAAACATCTCTATATATTCTTTTCATTATTTGTAAAAGAAAAAAGAACGATTTGAAGAAAATTATAAGGATTTAAAAAGAGTGAAAAGGAAATGCGGCATATCACATGATGGAGCAGCTTTGTGGGTTCTCTTCGCTGAAGTAATCGCATCTATTGGGTTGGCATTGTCGGTAACTAGGTGGTGGACCTCCTCCCCAACTGTCATAGACAGGTCGGCCATAAGTCTCGTACTGTTGAGGCGGCGGCGGCAGTCCGTATCCACTGAACGCTGGCCCACCTCCAAAACCGTCATAGTATGGCCCATAACACATAGCCACTGGTTGCCCATGTGACATCATAGGCATAGCTTGTGGTGGTGGTCCAGGCTGCTTTGCGGCTGGAGCAGGAGCAGGTGCCTGTGCAGGAGCTGGTGCCGGTTTAGCGGCTGCGGGTTTATCGGATTCTTTGGGTTTCTCTGATTGCTTAGGCTTTTCAGATTCCTTCGGTTTTTCAGATTGTTTAGGCTTTTCGGATTCTTTGGGCTTTTCCGATTGGTTAGGCTTCTCGCCCTCCTTAGGCTTATCGGCGGCTTTGGGAGCATCTTTGGGCTTTTGGGGAGGAGCCTGAGCTTGTGGCTGAGCTTGAGGCGGCTTGGGTGGCTGGACGATCTCGATGGTCTTGATAGAGCCGCCACCTTTAGAACACAGTTTGTCCATGATCCTCTCAGGGCTGCAGCAAACCACCTTGATGATGACTATGTTGGACTTCTCATCGAACAGTTGGTCTCTGATTTCTCTTGTTCAGAACCACACAAAAGCATCATCCACTCAGTCCATTTTCCCAACCAATCCAATCAAATCAAACAAATAATAATCCAAAAGAATCTTAAAATTAAAAAAAAAAAAAAAGACAGAAAGAACTCACGAGGGAATTTGCAAAGAACCTTCTTGACCTTCTTGTAACACTTGGCACAATCAAGATCCACTTTCAGCTTCATCATAGTTACCTGTTTTTTGGATATTGACATAATTAAATTCCTCATGTTCTGCCTTAGTGGTAAAGTCGAAACAATAGACTTCTAATTGGACGCTTCTAAACATCTAATTACTGAGACAGAACTGATTCGGTCTCTCACACAAAGAAAGAAAGAGAGATTCTCTTATCACTTCCACAAAGTTTACCCTTTTTAATGGTTAGATCTCATTATTTTAGTCCATACAAAACCAACACATCCGACATTTACTAAAAATATCCATAAGAAATTAGCAGAAATGGATAGAATCAAAAGCTCCACAAGATATTTAATTCTTAAGACCCACCCGCATATAAAAAACACAACTGTCTACTAAAAAGCTAAACAAAACAAGTAAGAGAAGAGAAGAAAACAACCTTCTCCTTGCCCTTCTCGGCCATGGCTTGGAGCGGAAAGCTGAGATCTTAGATCTGACGGTGGCTTAGAGTCTACTTCAAGAGAGATAGAGAGATGGGTGGTGGTAAGTGTAGCCTTTTATATATAACACAAACTCAAACCTTACATCAACTACTGTCATGACGACACGCGTATGATTTTATCGAAAACTCGGTATTACTTCTTGGTTTTATTTTTTCAAAAGAAAAAAAACAGTGAAGGTATACAATAATGCATCGTTGAGAAAACCCTTTTCACATCACTAACTTTCATAGTTGTCATTATTGACCTGGCCGATCTTTCATTCTTATTTTCCTTTTAGTTTTATTACATTAATTACATGAAATGTTTAAAGCACCAGTCGGCGGCTATTTCATTTATTATATTATTGGATTGAAACTTATAGTAGTTATTACTCTTTGCGTTTCAATTTACATGTTGTTATAAAGAAAAATTTTTGTTTCAAAATAAATATTATCTTATAATTTTGATGTATAATTTATTGTGAAAGCACCGTTGTTTAGTGGTTAAAGTTTAAAGGCTTCTCTATACTAGGTCTAGGATTCGAATCCGAGGCTATGCAGTTTCTACACCAAAAATGTTTCAATTCTCGGAGAGGTGAATGGTGAATTATGCAGATTGGAGAAAAAAGTTTACAAGAGATCTTCAGCATTGCGCAAAGCGTACCACCATGAATGGATTTCACAGGGCGGCTCAGGGTGATGCAGTCAGACGTGAATCCGCATAACGCATGTAGAATTGTCGACTGTAATATTATCTGTGTAATATTTCTCATAGTTTGTAATGCATAATTATCCAGTGTTAAAAAAAAGATGTATAATTTATTAAATTTTTCTATTTCCTATGTTTTATTGGTTGAAATGTGGTTAGGTGTATAAGTAATTGAGTATTTATTTTGATAATATGTAAAACTAAATGTTTTTTTAATTTGTGTGCAAAAACATAAAACGACAACTAAAATAAAATGAAAGAAATAATATTCATAGGCAGTTTTTTTGTTTTTATTAACATATGACAGTTTAACCACTGGGATACTTTTTGTAACTAAAATCAAACATTTGTTAACTAAATTCAATCATGTGACCATCAAGATCTCACATTCGATAATTTGCATTATTTCTCTCTTATCTCTATCTAATCTTTTGTTTGTTTGTTTTTGAAACACCTTTTTATATTTAATCATCACCACATTTTCTTCTTATTTTTGAAAAATATGTTCGGCATCTTTTTTTTTTAACCTTGTAAATCACATTATTTTCTATAAATCATGTTTTTACCATCATATTTTCATCTTTTCTTTTATTTTTTGTATCATTGATTTACTTTTTTTTATTGCTGATCTACATATCCCAAAAAACAATGCAAACTGTGAGGAAGCAGAGATACATTGGAAGTAGCGACGAGTCTTTGGCGGATCTTGTTTTATCATCACCATTGGATTACTTTCTTGGAACTACAAAGATAGTCGTGACCGCTTCGAACTTCTCAGATGCGACTCTCCTTTGTCGTGAAAGCTCAATGAGCAACAACGGCCGTTTTTGGTTTTATTTCACATCTTGTCCCTCGACTTTGAATATATTCATTTCTGTCCTAAAATTTTCTAATTTGCAAAATATCTCTTTTAAACTGACTCCTCACCTTTTAATTGTATAGATCAGACCTTTCATATTACACGAACAGATCCTTGAACTTCTGGAATTTTTCTTTTCGGCTTTTAACTTTTCAAATTGCAAAAATAGCCTCTTAATTTAGTGTTAAACTTTCAATTATTCACTTCAAGTATATCATCGTAACAAAGTAAACATGTTTCACTGAAGTTCTAACAAAGTTGTTAACGACAATGATCTTTAAATCAGCTATTGATCTTTGTGTATTCATGGAACTCATTTGCCAAAATATTTACATAATAATATAATTGAAGATTCTTAAGATATTTGTCTGATGATGGTGCGAGAAAAAGGTAAAGCACTTTGTGCAAAGTTTTATTTTGTTATTAAGTTATGTTCCTCTTCACAATTAACTTCAGAATCAGTTTCATAAGGCTCTGTATAATGATACAAAATCATATTATCTTACCATTTCATCTTGGAATGGACTTAACCTTGTATACAGGTACACTACTATATTTTTTGTACACATATACGCCACCAACCTTTAATGTACACATGTACACTAACGAACGTACACAACTTTATAACATGTTGAACATCTAACATGTATCTCAAACATGTGTGTACATGTAGGTAGATCTTTTTTTATGTACAATGTGATTTTGTATACTCCATATCATGTGCACGCGTACATAGAAGATGATTAGAAATGTGTGGTGTCATTATACACATATAGATGGATTGATTGTTGCTTACTCAAAATACCAAAATAAATAGGTACGTGTGTACATATAGATTAATTGATTTTCAGATTGAATTTTTCTGGTAAAACTGCAAAATCACATTTTCTCTTCAAAAATTTTAAATCATGTTTTCCATCAAATCGCTAAAAATCATGTTTTTCCACTAAAATATTTTACCTCTTTTTCTTAATTAAAAATTCTCAAATCGTAACAACATTTTCTGTGATAGGTAAATTTCAAAAATAATTTTGTTTCCACCTTTGATTTGCGATGAGCTCTTACAATGACCACCTATGGCAAGCTCTTACGACAACTACCTATGGCAAGCTCTTACGACAACCACCTATGGCGATCTCTTAATTTACTTCTAAGAATTACTTACTTGAAAGGTACTCAGTGTGTCCATTATCATCAACGTGTACACATATATATTATACTGTCCATGTATACAATATTATACAAAAAAATACATATACACCGATTCATTTTTACTTTGCTCGAATAATTATATTTAATAATTTTAATGATTTAGAGTATAGTTGCTAATTTGGTAAATTTATTTCATTCGATAGGGTCTAAAATGCAAATTTAAAAGTTTTAGGTTAATTGAAGAGGACTTATTTGTAAATCTGAAAATTATAGGACTATAATAGAAATAATTAAATTATGAGGACAACATATGAAAATTAAGGAAACTTAATTTCAAGGTTAAACAATGATGATTTAATTTCGGATCTAGCGGTGGCTTCCCTTTACGGTCTACCAAAGGCACGAATAAAGACTGAGATCACCACGAAGACCTCTTGAGATACCGTGGAAGAGAGCTGAGAGCATGCTGTTGAGGCTTTCCATCAGACTTGAGATACTGCACAAGAGAAGATCTATGTAGAATAAAGGAGACGGTAATGAAGCTCGTTGTATCTGTAAATTACACTGGAGACATCATAGACAATCATGATGTCTATGATCTGTGACGGTAAGTAAGCCAGTATGATCTGAATTTGTGGTTTAGTCTGAATTTTGCAAAGATCATTTTTTGAAAAAAAATAAAGATTAGAAGTCAAAGATTTATAATGAAGAAAATGAAAAAAATTCAGAGAAAACGAAAAGATTGAGAGAAATGAAAGTGGGTCAAAAAAAATAGGAAAAAGAGATGAAAACGGGTGAAGAAGATAAGAGAGTGATGAAAGTGGATCTTACTTTTTACAATATAGTTATGTTTTAATTTGAAATCTGAACAATATGTGATGAAGCTAGAGGAAAATGTGTCTATAGTTTTATAAAAAAAAAACAATTTTCTAATTAAAATAACTAAACACTTTTTGTTGATATTTGTATTATATTATCATTAAAAATGTTTGTTGTGACGGACCGGATGCAATTCTGGGTCAGATGCTCTACTAGAGCCAGACCGGATGCCCGTGCTGGAGGCCAGACGCTCAACTAGAGTCAAATGTATGTCACTAGATGTCCAATCCCTCGCTTAGTATGATATTGTCCGTTTTGGGCCCAAGCCTTAACGAATTTGTTTTTGGGTCATTACTCCCAAAAGGCCTCATATTAAATAAGATTGGATCAGCTATATATATTAGATTTTATTCTGTCTAATATCCGATGTGGGACTTGGATTGCCTTTTTATTTATTCTGACAATCCTCTCCTCAAACCAAGGACCACGGAACCTTGGGCTCTGATACCAATCTGTTGTGACGGACCGGATGCACTCTGGAGTCAGATGCTCTACTACTCTACTAGAGCCAGACCGGATGTCCGTGCTGGAGGCCAGACGCTCAACTAGAACCAAACGTCCGTCACCAGATGTCCAATCCCTCGCTTAATATGATATTGTCCGCTTTGGGCCTAAGTCTTCACGGAGTTGTTTTTGGGTCATTACTCTCAAAAGACCTCATATTAAGTGGGATTGAACGAGTATATATATTAGAGTTTATTCTGTCTAATAATATCCGATGTGGACTTGGATTGTCTTTTTATTTATTTTGACAATGTTGTCAGCTATTTCGTTTGAAATATATTAGATTAAAAAACTTTTTATTATTATTATTATTACATCTTTAAGAATTTTCATTAGTGGAAGCCCCCTTGGTCTAGTGATTTGACTAAGGGTTCATTAATGTTTCTACACCCGTCTGGGGTTCAAACTCCAGAAAAAAAACTAAATTATGCAGATTATGGAAAAACAAGTTACAAGAGATCTCCTGCTTGGTGCATGGCGTACAATCGAACATGTATCTCATAGGACGGCTCGGAGTGATGCAGTCAGGCGTGTATTATGGTAGAATTGTCGGCTGTAAAATCGTCTATGTAATATTCTCATCGTTGTAATAGCATAATTAATCAGACGTTAAAAAAAAAACTATGTCGGTGGTTTCATTCTGCCCTCTCTTTCTTATTTTTGTTTTGTAGAGATTTGTTTTCATGAAAAAGGTAGTTAAATCTTCGTAATTGTTTCCCCAGCTATATTAAACTAACCACTCCCACTTCTAGCTTATAGTATATCACTAAGAAACAAATAGAACAATCATCATCATCAATTCATCATACCTAAGAAGAAAATAGAAAGAAAACAACAAAAACAAGGAGCTGGAAGATTCGTCACATGCGGATTTAGTTGGTAACTAAGAAATGTGCCTTTTGTTTTATTAAAGCTCAACTGAAAAAGACACTCAGAATTATGATAAATATTAAATAACTGGGGAACAACTGGCAAATATTAAAAGGTTTTTTTTCTTTTGCTAAATAACCAAAAAAAGAGAACAATTAGATTTTAAGAGAGAGATAGGAAGAGAAAATAGGAGAGATGGAAGGATTTTGGTTAGATTTTTAATTTTGGTTTTTTTTTTTTAGCTACTTGGTCT